GCGCATGGGCAGTCAAGAGGGACCACGCACCTTCTCAGGTGAGGACAGCGCCGGTGCCTCTCTCTTGGACCGGCAAACTTGGTGGTCTCGTGTCACCAATGCGGTGGGACCAGTGCGGCATCGCGCCATCGACAGCTCTGAACTGCGCCTCACCACTGACCGGGAAGGCCGCCAAGTGGGCCAGCACAGGTCGCACATTGTGGCAGCAGTCAGCAGTGCATGGCTGATAGCTAGAGCAGCAGCGTCAGGGTCGCAGGGTCGGATCGTGTCAAGCCTCTCGCCCGGCCGGCCACGTGCAGGGACGTCGGCCTGTCTGCTGTCTGGAGTGATCAGTCGGCGGTCAGTACGACCGATCAGGTCGGAGTTTTCTGGTGGTTGGAGGGTCTATCTGTATGTACTCCTCGAGATCTCTCCAAATCTGCCCTCTGTTAGACCGGGTTAGATCGGGAAGTTGGTAGTATGAGCGAGTATGAGCGCCGGAGCCCCCCGTTTCCGCACTGCGGCGCGGCGCACGGTGCCTCCGGGGGGCCCCGCGCCGGCCCAGAGCTGTTTTCTTTGTTTTTTTTTGGGCGTCGCGCTCCCGTTTCTTCTTTTTTACGTATAATGGGTGATCGGTAAAGGAGCGGGTCCTCCGTCCCACTGCCACCCGCGCGCCAGCCCGGGTCGTCACCGGGGCGTCGCGCGCCCAGAGCGCAGAGGAGAGGAGGAGGATTCGGGGATAGCGAGTGCGCGCACCGCCGCCCTCAGCCCTCCGACTCTGCGTAGCGCAACGGGCGGTGCCTCCCCGCGCGCTGCTTCCAGTGCCACAAGCCGTCCTCGCCCGCCTCCTCCTCCTGGCTCGAGTGGAGCTGCAGCTCCGCGCGGGCGCTCAGCGCGCCCAGCGTGATGAAGGGTTCGCCGCTGGCCCCGCCCCGCGGCGCCAGCACCGGCGGCGGGGCCACCTCGTCGCCGCGCGATTCCTGCGACGCCCAGTCGCCGCCCGCCTCGTCCCCGTGCTGCTGCGACAGGATCTGCGACGCCTGCCACTGGCGGCCAACCTCGACGGGCCAGGCGCGGGCCTCGCACGACGCAAAGGCCGAGTCGGGGTGCATGTGGCAGAACCACTGGTCGGGCAAAGGCAGCTGCGCGGCCGGCAGCAGCCGCCACGCGCAGCAGTCGTCGCACTGCACCCAGCTGTTTTGGTTGCGCCGCCTCGTGTTGCGGCCTCCGCCGCGCCTCGCGAGCCGCCTCGCCAGCCGGTCGCTGTCGTCGTACCAGTACGCCTCGACGCCCTCGCGGTCGACGGCCCCGCGCAGAGAGTCTTCCTCCCCCTCCCCCTCCGCCCCTCCCTCCCCATCGACCTCCTCCTCCTCCTCCTCCTCCTCCGCCTCCTCCGCCTCCTCGACCTGCGCCTCGCCCTCGCCGCCCTCGCCCTCCCCTGCAGCCGCGAGCGCGTCCTCCGCCGCGCCGGCCTCCCCCCTCTCCTCCGCCCGGCACTCGCCCTCCGCGCCGCCACCCACACGAGCCTCCCCGGACCCGCTGCCAGCGCACGAGCCCTCCAGCGGTGGCGCGAGGTCCACCTCATAAACCTCCTCTCCGCCGCTGCCGTCGCCGCCCTCCATCCCCGCCGCACCCGCCTCGCCTGCCGATGGCACTGCCCTGCCCTCGCCGAGCAGACTCGCCTATGGGAGAGCTCCGAGAAGCTAGGGTCGAGGGAGGGGTCGACGAGCGGACGAGCGCTCTCGCCTTTTCGACCGCCGACCGCAGCAGCGCGTCGACGCCAGAGATCTCCCTCAGCAGCTCCTCCACGCCGCCGCCGCCGCCGCCGCTGCGCGAGAGGTGGCCCGGCGCGCCGCTCTCGCGCAGCGCCTGGCGCGCCGAGGCAACGGCGAGCTTCGCCTCGACCAGCTTGGCGCGGACCAGCGCCGCGTCTGGCTCCGGCAGGGCCGTGGAAGAGAGCCCGGGCGATCGGGACGAGGACGCCGCCAAGGCTGGCGATGCCGAGACACCCACCACACGCGGCTTGATGCTCCACTTGTCAAGGACGGTGCTCAGTGTGGCGCTGACTGCTGCCGACACCGCCGCGTGCGCCCCGTGCGGGGTCCCAACAGACTCAATGACAGGGGGCGGCGGCGGCTCGGGCTCAGCGCGGCATAGAGTCGGCGGCGGCGGTGGCGCGGCCGGAGGTGTCGTTGGCGCCAGTGGAGGGCGAGTGGACGGTGCCGGGCGTGGAAGCTGCGGGACGCGCCAGGTGCAAAGGACCACCTTCTTGCGAATCGGATCTCCCACCGTGCGCAGTGGCGCGACCAGCTCGACCTCAGCCTCACTCTCAAGCTGAGTCGCCTCGCCGGCAGCGAGCACCCTCGTCTGCCCGGCCGTGCGGATGTGCACTGATGCCTTTCCGCGATTGATCAGAGACAGCATCGAACCACACGGCGAAAGTGATAGCTCCGCCTGCACCCTCGACACTGACGTTTTGCCTTGCGCTTCCGCCCTCCCAAAGAGCTTCTTCCCGCCTCGCTGCACTGATAGTACTGACGCGCCCGGAGTGCTCGGGGTGAGGAGCAGCTCGCCCTCCATGCAGCCCGCCCGCGGCCGCACGAAAAAAACCGTGGTGTCGTTTGAGAGCTAGCGGTAGGAATCCGGGCCCTCCCCCCCCCCCCTTCCCGAGGGGAGACGAGAGCTAGGCCCCCCCCCACGAGCGGGGTGGACGGCCGACGCGTGGAACAACGGCTAGAATGGCCGCAGGGGCAGGGGGCCGCCCCCGTCCCCCGAGGCCACACTTTCAAAAAAAAAACACCGCGAAGGGCTGGACCACTGTGATCTACGACGAGGAGGGCCACGCCTCCCCGAGCCTGAAGAGGGGCCGGCGGAGGGGAGGGGCGAGCCGAGGACGATAGAGAGACCGCGGGTGCGGGCGCGACCCGTCGACCAGGGAGAGTGGGCCCGTCCTCCCCGGGAGGGGAGGCGACACGACCCAATGCCGCCGTCCTCGCCCGGGGAGGTCCCGGCCGGGCCGTCGACGCTCTCGGAGGCTGCGGTACCAGCCGAAGGCGAAGCGGAGGCGAGGCCACAGCCGAGGAAGAGGCATCAGAAAGCAAACGACTGCAGAGAGGCAGTCTGGTAACGCCCGGAAGGCGAGCAAGCGGGGACCGGGACGAGCCGAGGGCTCGCCCCGACGGGCGAAGGAAGGGACTCGGGGACCGGAGCCGGGCGGGCACACATGAGGCGTATCCGTGTACGTACGTGGAGACAGTGTTGTGTGTCTGTTAGCTCCGAGTAGAGGGGGCGTTCTGCAGTTAAGGGGAAACCCGGTACACGGGTCCAACCCTCGGAGAACTGTGTTTACTTTAAGGCCCTTTCCCTGCGAACGCGCACCCCCGGGGCTAGGGCTCTCTTGCCCGCAACCCGATCCCGATCATCAGGCCCGCTGGGTGCGCTTCTTAGCTCCCCGGCCCTGGATGTGCGGTTAATGACTGCAGTCTGCACTCCAAGTCGCAAGTGCTCCAAGGCCTTGCTTTGTTGCCTAACACCCCTCTCCTTAAAATCCCTGTGTGGTGGCGGCGTGCCGTCCTCCCATCCCTCCCTGGGTTGTCTGTTTTCTTTCTTTTTTTGTTTCCTAACATCGAAGGCTAGCTCAAAAAAACAGTGCTTTCAAGAAGACAAGCAAGTCTCTCTTAACCTCCCGGGCCAGTTTGGGGGGGCAAACCCTGGTTTCTTTGCCCAGGCCTGGCCTACGGCCCATGTGCTGGATCAGCTGAGCAAGGTTTGGGGAGAATCCTATAGAAGGATCTTCAGATATTTTGACGGATGACCAAAATCATCCCGTTTTTGCTCACATTTTGCTCACGACCCAGCCCGAGAGAGGGGGTCGTGGGACGTGGGTGTTGGTCTCTCTATGATGACGTCACACATGACAACACCCACGTGCAGAAGATCGGACAACACCCACGTGCAGATGAAAAGAGGAATGCAGAAGATCGGACAGGGGAGGGACGCGGCCAGAAAGAGGGCGGGCGCCGAGTTTCGAAAGCCGGCGCTTTCGCGCGTTCGAGGGCCTTCTTCCGAGTTTGTACGCAATTCACAAATTTGCGCGCGAAAGCCGAGATGGCACCGCAGGCGGCGTGTGTGCACGAGGGCGGCGGCGTCGAGCGCCGAGCAGCACACCACGAGCGTGAGCGGCAGCGCCGACTAAAGCCGTACGGGAGGCGGCGGGCGGCTCGACCGAGCCGGCGGCGGAGGAGGCGACGGACGTCGAGGCGGTGAGCGCCGCGGTCGTGCTGGCCGGCGTGGAGGAGAGCGGCCCGAACTACGCCCTTCCGACGGCGAGGGAGGGCCAGAGGGAGCGGCGGGAGCGGCTGCGGGTGGACGAGACGTAGTGACAATACTCTCGATACGGGGTGTGGACCCTGAGTTGACCAGGGGTTGTGCGCCGGGCCCTCCTGCTCGGCTCCAGCGAGTAGACAAGTCTTGTCATCAACAGAGTAGAAGGATCTGACCTCGGGGCCGATGTGACCAAGCGCTGGTAGCGTGCTTTTACCTCACACCCACGGTCTCACAGTGTGCCGGCAGTCGCCAAGCAGTGTCGCTCACACAAGCCGCAGCACAAGTGACTGAGGGCCAGTGAGGGCGAGCCCATCGCTGTCACAGCTGTGGCAGCCGCACAGTAGGCTGTGTCAACTGTGCAGAGTGTGTGAGCAGCAGAGGAGCTGCTCTCCAGGCTTCTGTTGCAAAGAGCTGCATGCCACCGAAAGCGCTGTCGAGGTTCGCCGAGCGCGGCGCAGGTTGAGGGAAGCCGCCACCGACGAGCGCGTTGGAGTATTCACTCCGGACAAAGACGGGCACACAGCGGACGGTGCGGGGCGTGTGCCCGTCATAGCGGCGAGGCGCGGGACCGTCTGTGGCGAAGTGGGTCGCGTCCCTCGATTTCCTCAACTCACGGTCCGCTCCCTCTATGTTTTGATCAAAATGTCTCACGTTCATGTTGTGTGCTTGTTTGTTGTGTCTCTCCTGTGACATCTGACATGTCGGTCGTTTGACGGAAAAACATATCCACGCCCACAGAAAGGAGGAGTATACAAAATAAACCACGTCTCATAGTGAATCAGACTCTCTCACAATAATCGCTCGTCCTGCTCCTGGCACAGAGAGCCTGGCCGGTCGTCCCTCCCGCGTTACGGAGAGCAAACGCGACGACAAACGGGTGTGCCGCTGGCGCCCATGCTAACTGGCGGAGGCCCCGTTGCGATCCATCCGCAGCGGCGGGCGGCGGCGAAGAGCGCGCCCAAAGCGGAGGCCCCCACCGCCGCCGCAGCGCAACCAGGAGACGCGCAGAAGCGCCCGAGGGGCGGGATGGCTCAGAACATGGCAATCTCGTTTACGTGCTGCACCGCCTGCGCGACCGCCTCGCGGCCCTTGTTCCAGAGCGGCGTCAGCTCGGCGACCGCGGCCGCGGCCGAAGCGGCGAGCGCCTCAAGCGACGCATACGAGCGGACACGGCTCGGCACCGGCTCGCCTGAAGACGAGGGGAGCGGCTGAGCCGTCGATGCTGCTCCTTCCAGGGCCCGGCGCGGGCTCGCCTCCGTCCGGCGCGGCGTCGCCCACCGCCTCGGAGAGCCGCGAGGGGTAGGACCGGATCGAGCGGAGGCCGTCGCCTGTCCACGAAACCCGTCCGGCTGTGAGGCATCGACTCATACCCGCGGGAGGGGATCGAGCGGAGGGCGTCGCCGGCGAGCCGCTTGGGCGCGGGGGGCGGCAGTCGCAGGTCGGGCAGCGGCGAGGCGCGCTTGAGCGAGGCGGAGCGCGTGAGGGCTGGCTCCCTCAGCTGCTGCTCCGCCCCGCCGTCGCTGTCCGCAGGCGAGGTGGGGCTGAGGCCTCGCGGGGAAGACGGGAGCGAATACGCTCTGAGGCGGGGCGAGCAGCGCGGCGAGACGTGCGGCGAGATGCTCATCGGCGCGACGTCGCCCGCGTCCGTCGAGACGGCGGCCGGGCGGGCCTGCCGCCCCGCGCCGTACCTCAGGAAGAGGTCGCGCAGCGTCGACCGGTAGTTGCGGCCGAGGTGGAGTCGCTGGTAGTCGTGGCTCATTGGGTGGGCCGAGTTGAGGGTGCCGCGCATCAGCGCGGAGAGCGTCCCCAGCTGGGCGGTCACCTCGGCGATGTGTGGCTCGAGCGCCAGCTCCAGCGACGCCAGCTCCGCCGAGTCGGGCTCGGGGACGCGGCAGGGCACGACGTTGTGCAAGAGGCAAAACTGGGGCGCGAGTTCGGCGGTGAGGGGGTCGACGACGACGTACCGATCGGCGGCGCCTTCGAGGCTGTTGCTGCTGCTGCCGGGCTCGGGCACCCACCACCCGGCGTGCTGCGGCGCCGGCCCGGCCGAAGTAGCCGTGTTGACAAGCTGGGCCGGACCGATCCTCAAAGATGCGCCTGCTCTCTCGGGAAGGGGGCGGGGGGTGGGCTGGGGTTGGGGTGCGTTGGTGGGGGGGGGGGGGGGGGTCCCGGGGCCCCACAAAAAAAAAGGGGGGGGGGGGGGTTGGCCCCACCTTATACCCCCCCCCCTTTC